CCTGGGAACAAATCTTTACTCCTCACACTTCAGATAGAGCCCTAATATCCAGAGTATACAAAGAGCTCAAAAAATTAGACAATAAGAGAACAAACAACCCAATCAACAAATGGGCCAAGGACCTGAACAGACACTTCTCAGAGGAGGACATACAGTCAATCAACAAGTACATGAAAAAATGCTCACCATCTCTAGCAGTCAGAGAAATGCAAATCAAAACCACCCTAAGATACCATCTCACTCCAGTTAGATTGGCAGCCATTATGAAGTCAAACAACAACAAGTGCTGGCGAGGATGTGGGGAAAAGGGTACACTTGTACATTGCTGGTGGGACTGCAAATTGGTGCAGCCAATTTGGAAAGCAGTATGGAGATTTCTTGGAAAGCTGGGAATGGAGCCACCATTTGACCCAGCTATTCCCCTTCTTGGTCTATTCCCTAAAGACCTAAAAAGAGCATGCTACAGGGACACTGCTACATCGATGTTCATAGCAGCACAATTCACAATAGCAAGACTGTGGAACCAACCTAGATGCCCTTCAGTAGATGAATGGATTAAAAAAATGTGGCATTTATACACAATGGAGTATTACTCTGCATTAAAAAATGAGAAAATCATAGAATTTGCAGGGAAATGGATGGCATTAGAGCAGATTATGCTAAGTGAAGCTAGCCAATCCCTAAAAAACAAATGCCAAATGTCTTCTTTGATATAAGGAGAGTAACTAAGAACAGAGTAGGGTCGAAGAGCATGAGAAGAAGATTAACATTAAACAGGGATGAGAGGTGGGAGGGAAAGGGAAGGAGAAGGGAAATTGCATGGAAATGGAAGGAGACCCTCAGAGTTATACAAAAGTACATACAAGAGGAATTGAGGGGAAAGGGAAAAATAATACAAGGGGGACAAATGAATGTCAGTAGAGGGGGCAGAGAGAGGAGAGAAGAGGGGAGGGGAGGGGAGGGGAGTGGGGATAGTAGAGGATAGGAAAGGCAGCAGAACACAACAGACACTAGTATGGCAATATGTAAATCAATGGATGTGTAACTGATGTGATTCTGCAATCTGTATATGGGGTAAAAATGGGAGCTCATAACCCACTTGAATCAAAGTGTGAAATATGATATATCAAGAACTATGTAATGTTTTGAACAGCCAACAATAAAAAATTAAAGAAAAAAGAGAATATACACAAAATGAACACTTCTGAGCTTAGTCAGATTAGCACAGGATGCGTGCTGCTTTTCAAAAGGAAAAATATACATAAACAAAACAAAAATGGGGATTTGACTGATTGACCTTGCAGGTCTCCTCTGGTTTAAACATGCCACAAGCCTCTGCTCCTAGTGAATTTGTGTCTTCCTAAGAGCAGTCTCTTTGGATGATGCAATACCGTGAGATGCAAGAAAGGCCTAAACTCTGCCATGAAAATGGTTCTTTAGATTTTCTGCACAATATAAACAGTACTGCAAGTACAAGAAATAACATTGACAGGGATACGCCTGTGGTCTGACCTCTATCTTATTTAATCTTATTTAATCTAGGCCAATTTAATGATGCCATGTCACATTCAGCCACAGGTACTATAAGCAATCTAACTGTGGCTCATGGTGACTTCCCCTGCTCCCTTCTCCTTCTCTCTTCCCTAGTCCAGGAAAGAAGTCTAAATTGACCAAAAATACAAAACAAAATTTAAAAAAAACAAAAAACACACCCTGAGGCTTCTCCAATTACATGAACAAGGAGGACTATTTTATTTTTGACCCCTTTTTCTTCTGATTTTAGACACTAATCCTAGGGACTTCTTTTGTTCCTTTGGTCACCACTCTACCTCCATACATGCACACAGTACCTCTACTATAGCACTTAAAATACTGGGTGAACCATGGTTTGCTTTCGTGATGTTCTCTGCCACTGATTTGCAAGCTCTATGAGGAAAAAAAGAAATGCATCTTGTTCATCTTATGTGTCCTCATCATTGAGGCAGGGAAATTTAAGCTGAGAATTAAGGGACAGAATTGGAATAAATTGGAGAGTGTGAGGGGGAGACATTCTCAACACAAGGGAGGTGCTGAGAGCAGAATCTCTTGGAAGAAGTCAGCAGAGGGGTCACCTAAGACTAGCTAGCCAGAGAGACAGGCAGTCTGGTTGCCCAGCATTCAACATTCAGGAGAGTAATTCCATGCCTTACTGGTTTCTCAACTGAGATTTATCTTCAGGAATACCAGAAGTCACAAACTAAATGTTGTGTTCTTTTTGTCTGGCTCTGTTCTTTCCCATCTTCTTATTTCTACAAGTACATGAGCAGGTATAGGTTTATATCGCACATATAACAAAAAGGCCTCCCAGTGGGCAATGAATGTTTGCATAATGAGCATTTATTGAGCACCTACTGTGTGCTGGTAATTGTTCTAGGTATTAGAAATACGAGCAATGAACAAAACAAGCAAAGACCAAAAGCAAAAAACCTCCCACCTCAAGAGTCAGCATTTTAATGGGAGAAGATAGGCAATAAATAAAACATGCAAGTAAAGACTATTAGCAGGTGGTGTTATGAAGACAAATCCAGTAAAACAAGTGAGTGAGGAGTCCCCTGCAACATGTATGGTGAAGAGGTATGTTTAGCTTTAACTGGGCAGTTGAGAAGGACTCACTGAGAAGGCAACATTTAAGCAGAAATGTGAGGTGGTAAATACTACGTTAAATGCTCTGTACACAATAAGTACTGAATCAATATGAATATAATCAGCCCTGTGTATCTATGGATTCCTCATCTAGGGATCAACCAACCATGGATTGAAAAAAAAATTTTAATTACATCTGTACTGAACATGCACAGACTATTTTTCTTGTCATTATTCCCTAAGTAACACAATATAACAACCATTTACATAGCATTTACATTGTATCAGGTATGTAAGTCACATAGAGAGGATTTCTTGTATGGGAGAGGAATACACATTCTATATGCAAATACCACGCCATTTTGCATAAAGGACTTGAGAATCCACAGAGTTTGGAATCTGCAGGTGGACCCAGAACAAATCCCCCATGGATACTGAGGGACAACTTTACTTCCCTTCCCTTTAGATTCTATTTATATAATGAACCAAACTATCAATGCGCTTATCATTGATGTGTTTTCTGGTAATTAAGGTCAACTTTGAACCCAAGTTCTGGGATACCACTATTTAAATGTCCACGACCACCTTATGAACTTCAAGCTGACAATACCGGAAGGACTCATGGTGTAATCTTTCAGCTATGCTTGATCCCCTGGTCATGGGAGCAAAGGTACAGAAGCCCAGATGAACAAAGATTGTCCATGCAGGCCCCAGCATTCCATAAGCAGCAAAGGCATTAGATGTGGCTCACCTCTCACAACTTGATCCAAGGAGTCCCCTGCAGTAGCAATGGAATACATATTCAAGCACTTGTTAGCCAGGAACTGGATCCCTCTCACAGGGGAGTAAGTGCTTGTCAACACACTGTTTTCCCTTAAAAGGAACCAATAAATAACAGTTTTTATATCCCTCTAGAACTTGCTGAGTTCAAATGCTCTTTAACCAATCAAGTCCTAAAAAATCCTGACAGAACCTCACCTATGGATTATTTAAAATATGAGAACAAAGAGTTGAACGGGACCCAGTATGCTTCCTTAAAATGACTGGCTTTTCCTCTTTGTTTATGAATTCTAGTAAATCTAAATAAGTAAGCTATTGTTTGGTATGTCAGATTTTGTACTAGGGAGTTCCTTTAAGAATTAACTGAAATAGGGCTGCATGCACCAGGGCCTTCAACCTCCTGGATGGAGGAGCATTAGAATCCATCATGCCCCTGCTGGGCTCCATAGTCACTATAGTCTGGGGCAGCCAACCTTATTTTAAGGTCCTTCAGTAACAAGAGGAAGAGTGAGAAAAATGATAAAACAGCCAGGAGCCTGAGAATATTACATGTGTTTATCACTATAATGAAATGATACACATCAGCAATAAGTACCCGAGTTCTCACTGTGGATGAATTCAATTCCTGTCTACACTTCTGGCATCAGCATGGGAGGAAAATAACAAGCCGACTTTGGACTTGCAAGAGCCCTAATCATACCTTTGTGCCAAGACAGTGCCTGGGAGGGATAGCTGGATAGGCATTTGTTTCTTGCAAAACCTCCGATTGTTCTGAAGGGCTTCTGTAATCTGAAACATACAATGATTGACAGATAATGTTGGATAGACAATAGATATTTTTATACATATACAAAGACACATTGATTTCCAGTTTAAAAAATTGAAATAAAATTCTATAGCATTAAAGCATTGTCTATAAGGATAAAATTCAAAGCTTTAGGAGTTGAATACCTGGCCCATAATGGCTGGAGGGATTTTGTCCCGGATATATTTCACATAATCAACTGTTGCCTCAAGAATTGAAGCCGCGTCATTCTTTCTCCCCTTTATATACGGCAAGAGAGTACGCAGCTGCTCACAGCAATATTTGATTCGTTCTCTGATCAAAGAATTGCAGTAAATAAGGAATAATTAGTCTCGTTTGTTTCCTGCACACAAGGACAAACAATCCTTCCTTCCTTCCTTCTGGGTTTATTTGCAAAGGAATGGCCCATACTCCTTCCCATCTAGTCTGTTTCAGAGAAAGGACATGTCCCCACAAGACAGCGACACTCACAACTTCTGAAATCACAAATTCCCAGGCACCTGCTGCACAAGGAACTGCTGTCAAGGTCCAATGTCTGCACCTTGTACCCAGATCCCTCATCCTGGGCCTGTGCAGGGTGCACACACAGTGGGGAAAACACATACTCTCACTGCCTACAGAAAACTACTGAACATTCTGCCCTCTGAGGAGAGCACCATGTACTCTGTGGATGTGTGGTCTTTTATATATATATATATCTCCTTCTGCAATTCACACTGAAAGTCAGCAGGCAAGAAGCAGTCAGCATTCTGATGTAACTGGGACTGGACCAAATTTCAACAATAGATCAATTAGAACCTTGTAACACATGGGCTTTACACGTAATTCTGTGGCCTGAGCCAAAGGAAAATGAGAAGATGATTTTCTTTCCATGAGGGAAGTATAGACAGAACAAATAAACCAATATGCAAATGAGAACAATGTCCAGGATCATATCAGAGGAAAATTAGATATTTCAGAGTTCTGAAGGGAAATAGTCAGAAATGTAGATCTGATTGAATCCCTGGATGCCTTCATTCATCAGAGTGCTCATTTATGAAGTATTATTAAGCACCTGTTTGGGGCTGGATACAATGATGACATACAGGGTGACTCTGCTAATTACTAGCTAGGACTGTAGGCAAGTACTAAACCTCTCTGGGCCATGGAATAGCAGAGAAATGAACATTTTAAAATGTAGTCTGATATACAGTTAGTGAATAACAAATATTCTAGATGAGTGATAATTTCACTGGGCTTTGGGAGTTCTAGGGTTTCTCCAGAGATGTCAGAAACCCTTCTGAAAGGAAAAGGGTGGGAAAGCCAACAATTTATGTGACTGGGTTTAAAACTTTTTATAACTTTTTTTAGTATTTTTTAATTTTTTCTTAGTTATATATAGACACAGTACCTTTATGTTATTTATATATTTTTATGTGGTACTGAGGATCAAACCCAGTGCCCCATACATGAGCCACAACTACAGCCCAAAAACTTTTTATAACTTTTGACATGGTACTTACAGGGATAATCTAAAACAAAAACTAATTGTAAAAAAAAGATACCTATTATGGAAGTACATGTTAGTAAAATATGGAAAACAGTCTAAACATAACATACGAGGATGCCTTAGGCCAACTACAGTGCACTAGTTTAGTACAATAACATTTGGCAGTGGAAGGGATATTTTATAAAGCTTATTGGAGAAAAAAATAGGATGCAAGACAGCATGTAGAATATAATCCCAGCCATTAAACAAAGCAAAAACAAAACACAGAAAAAAGACTGAAATAAATATATTAAGTAATATTTATTTCTGGATAGCAATGCTATGGGTAATACTTCTTTTTTAAATTTTCTACACTTTCCAAATATTTTTGCTAGACATATGTCACTTTCATCATGAAAGATGCTTTTAAATATTTTCCCAGTATTAATTAGAAAAATGTTTGAACATACAGAAAAGTTGAAGAATCACACAAATACCTATGTACCCACTGCTTGGTGTTTAATTAATATTCACTGTATCTGCTTTAATCATACATATATTACCCCACTGTTCATTCATACATCAACCAGTTTTAACACAGTAAAGCCTTTCAAATTAGGTTGTAGACTTCAACCCTGAATGTATCAATTACCAAAGCTCAAATTACTTTATTTTCAGGTAAAAGTTATGTAAGATAAAATACACAAATCTTAAAGGTCACATTCTATGAGTTTGGACAAGTACATACATCTGCACATCAGAAAAGCGCATCAACAGTCTCAGAACCTCAGAAAGTTCCCTTTGTTTTTTTCAAGTCATTGCTACCATCATTCCCGTAAGAGGCAACCACATTTCTGACTTTTTTCCATCCCACATTACTTTTGCCTGTCCTCAAGCAGCACATAAATCAAATCAAATCTTTTTATAAGGCTTCTTTTACTAGGCATGCTTTTGAGATTTTATCCATGTGGTTGCCTATATCAGAAAGAAGTCTGCTTCTTTTTGCTGAATAATAGTAATCTACAGTATCAATGTGCCACAGCATATGTATCCATTCCCTTGTTGATGAACACTTGGGCTGTTCCCAGTGTTTGGGTCATTATGAATAAAGTGGCTTGACCATTCTGTACATCCTTTTTTGGAGAATGCATGTTCTTATTTCTCTTGACTAAACATCTAGGAATAGAAATGACAGCTCATATTATAAATTTATAAAAAACTAGAAGCACTTTTACCATAGTAGTACCATTTGACACTCCCACCATCAATGGATCAGACTTGTTTCATATCTTTTAGCAATATTCAATATTGTCAGTAGTTTAAATTTGGGTCTTTCTACAAAATACATGGTAATATCTCATTATTCTTTAATTTTCACTTCCCTCACAACTAATGATGTTGAACAACTTTTTCCTGTGCTTATTGATAACTTTTATACCTTCCTTTGTAAAGTGGCTGTTCAAATATTTTACCTACATTTTAACTGGAATCCAGGATATTATTAAGTCTTAGGGATTCTTTTCCCTACCTTTGGTATTTGTCAAGCATATCTGTTTAGCAAATATTTTGTTTTTCTGTAGTGTTTTAGAACTTTATACAAAAACTACCATGACATCTATAAGTAAAAGGGCTTTGCTTCTTCCTAATTTTCACATCTGTTTCTTATCTTGTCTAATTACAATGGGTGGGACTGTCTATGTAGTGAAGAACTGAAATGATTAAGGATGGGCACACTTATCTTGTTTCTGATCTGTTTTAGAAACAGTCAAAATTTTAGCTATAGGTGTATCATGATACCCTTCAACAGACTGAGGAGGTTCTTTTCCACATGTATCTGCCAAGAGATTTTTGTTTTATCTAGAAAGAATAATCCTGTCAAGTTTTGTTTTGTTTTGTTTATGGTGGTGGGGACTGAACCAAGGGCCCCAATGCATGATAGGCAAGAAAGCACACAGTCTGACCACGGAGTTGCACCATAGCCCCAGCCCAAGTCACTTTTCTAAACCTGCTAACAACATGCTTTTTCTCCTTTATTCCTGCAAATGTGGTGGATTACATTGGTTGTTTTTTTTTTACAATTATACAAGTCTAGGATAAACTTGTGGTCATAATACATTATATCATTTTTTATTTAGTTTGCTAAAATTACGTTAAATATATTTGTGTCTATGTTCATGAGGGATACTGGTCTGTAATTTTTTTCTATAATACCTGTGGTGTCTGATTTAGGATTATGCTAGCCTCATAAAATGGGTTAGGAGGTGTTCTCTACTTTCTTTAAGAGTTTGTTTTAGATTGGAGTTGCTTCTTTAAATGAAAGTTGTTGGTAAAATCATCTGCACATGAAGTTTTTCTTTTTGTTAAGCTATCGGTAGTAGCAAGTTCAATATCTTTAATATTAGGCTATTCATGTTTTCTGCTTCACATCAGTTTTGTCAAAATGCTTAAGAATTTGTCCATTTCACCTAAGTTGTTCAATCTATTGGCATAACATAAGCCATAGTGTTTACTGTAAGTTTTGCTTTGGCTACATCCCACAAATTTTGATGTATTCTACATATTCCCATAATCATTTGCTTTGAAATACTTTGTTTTATTTTCCTGATGATTTTTTTCATCCATTCATAAATTATTTAGAACTTTGTTTTTAATTTCTAAGTAATACAGGTTTCCCTTTAAGTTTTACTGATTTCTAACAATTTAATTGTGGTCAGAGAACATACTTTTCATGAATTCAAGTTTTTTTCAGTGAAATGAAACTTCTTACACCTTAGCACACAGTCTGTGTAAGTCAATGTTCTGCGTGCCCACAAAAAGGAGAGAGGAGTGCTCTGCTGCAGTTGTTGGGAGTATTCTATAAATACCCATTACATCAAGGTGATTAAAAATATTCACACCTTCTGTATCTTAATGATTTTTTTTTTGGTATCTAGTTGTATAAATTGCTGAGAAAGGGATGTTAAATCTATAACAATTGTTGTAGAATTGTCTATTTGTCCTTTTAATTTTGTAAATTTTGATCTAAATATTTTGACACTCTATTATAATCCATATTTGTGATTTTTATCATTCTGATAAACTGACACATTCGTTATTACAAAATGTCTTTTTTTTAATCTCAAATGACATTGCTTTTAAGTCTATTTAATTTTATATCAACATAGCCAATTTGATCGTATACTGTTTTCACAGGGTGTATTTCTCTATTAATTTATTATATCAGTATATTTAAAATTTATTTATTATAGACAGCAGGGAGATGATTGTTTTTTTGTTTTGATGTTTTGTTTTGGTGGTACTGGAATTGAACCCAGGACCACATGCATGCCAGGCAAGTACTTTAACACAGAGCTATAGCCCCAGGTATATTGGTCTTGATTTTTGTTTGTTTTGATCTATCCTGACAATCTCTGCCTATCAATTGGATAAATATCTTCAATTTTAATATTTTTCCTGTATTCTCTTTTGTTTTTGTTCTGTTTTCCTGGCTTCTATTTGAATATTTTTAAAACTCAAATTTTAATATTTTAAGTTTATTTGTCCTTTTTTTATTTTTGTGTGCCCACCAAAATGAGAGAGGAGTGTGGCTTCTTATCTCACTAGAATTGTCCTAGGGATTACCATATGTATCTGAACTTTTCATAGTCTATTTAGAGTTAATATTTTATGACCACATAAAATATACAAATACTGCAGTCACATAAGGACATTTATCCCACTCACTCTTCATGTTATAATTTTCATATCTACAACCTCTACAGACATTACAAACCCCACAATACAATTGTATAATTTCTGCTTATAATATTCTTCAGAGTTTTAAATG